AGCATCACTAATGTGGCTGTTTGGCCATCTCGGGGAGCTGGATGCTGCCTCTTGCTGCTGGGGTCAGACCTGGCTGGGGGCTGAGGTTGGGAGAGGAGGAACTGCAGGGTCCTGCTGGTTACAAGGGGATGGTCGGGACCATTGGAGCGGCCGGGCGGCTGGTGAGTGCCCTCCCTTGGCCCTGGGGCAGGTGGGGGACCCCTCACTTGGCTGATCAGACCCCATCCTTATCCCCTCCAGGGCAGGGAAGGCCCCAAGGGACCACCCGGGGACCCCGGTGAGAAGGGAGATCTGGTAGGTAATTGTGCCCCGTGCGATGCCAGTCCCTGTTTTCCCCAGCTTGACTCCCTGGCACAGAGAGGGGCTCTGCCTGGGCTGCCTCGTTGGACATCTCCTCCCTCTCCAGCTCCATCCCCTGCACCAAGAGGCCATCTGAAATCACACTTGCTCTCTCCTGTTCTAGGGTGGCCGTGGCATCAGGGGTCCCCAAGGAGACATTGGCCCCAAGGGTGAGAATGTGAGTACAGCTGCTGGCACCCGTGCCCACTTCTAGGGCTGAGCCCCATGCAAGGAGAAGTTCTCTGTTCCTCTCTGTCCTGTTTGGGGCCATCCTACGTCCTTGCACCCTGGCTCAGTGCAGGGCTGGAGCTCTCCTGTCCCTTCCTGGCCTTTTTCTGCACCCACCATGAGCCTTTCAGTACGTCTCAGAGGTCTTCCCCCTTTCAAAGGGTCTCCCCGGCATCGATGGCAAGGATGGCACCCCGGGGATCCCAGGTGTGAAGGTGAGCTGCTGTGGGGGGCTGCTGGCAGCAGGGAGCAGACACACACTGCTCCTCATGCCACTGCTCATGGAAATAACGGGGACAGCAAGTGGCATAAGGTCCCAGCCCTGGACGTGGCATCTCCTGACGGGTGGAGTGTGGCTGTCCCCATGGGGTCAAGGGCAGTGCCCCCCTTTGGCCAAGAGTCCCTCCTCCCACCCGTGGTTATCTCATTTCTGCTCCTCTCTCCACCACACTGGATCTCTCTCTGTCCCTGGCAGGGCAGTGTGGGACAGGCCGGCCCCCCAGGCACGCCGGGACATCGGGGCCAAGCTGTGAGTACAGGAGCGTGGGACCCCATGCCCAGGGGGTACCCCGTTACCCGTGGGGTGATGGCCCCAGCCCTGGCTGGTGCCAGGGTGGCAGGGTGCTGTGCCACACCCTGGGTTTGATCCCAGCTCTGCTTCCACAGGGCTTGCCGGGCCAGCCAGGAAGCAAAGGTGGCCCAGGAGACAAGGTGGGTCTGGGGCAACCACGGTGTCCTCCTGCCCTGAGCATCCACCCCGTCCCACCCAGCACTGCAGCAGCCTCCAGGCTCCATCCCTGAGCCCGCAGGTTGTCCCTGTGCTGTCCCATCCCTGTCCCCGAGTCACCTCTGTCTCCTCTTGGCAGGGTGCAGCGGGTGGCCGGGGGCGCACGG